CGAGGCTATGCGTCTCCTAGCGCTTAGCTGTAGTCGCTTATGTAGTATGTTACCATATTTGGGACTCTCTGCTCGTGTACTATAGCTATGCTTCCGGACTCTTCTGGTACTGTCTAGGACAATCCGTACTACTCCAGAATGGTCTAGACAGGTCTATGCCTTACTCATCTCTTACTCATCCTATGGTGCGATACGTCGCAATTCTTTCACCATCGTATTATTCATCGCACTATGGTACATGTGACTAACCACTCTTCGATTAGCCATGGACACTTCTCTGTAGTATATAAGGACTTCAGATTGCGTCCTCCCTCTTCAGTCTTTCCTTACTGACTGAAGATCTTGCTTCGACTCTAGTCGGATCTAATCCTTGTCTTCACAGCCCCGAGTTTATCATCTCTCCAGTGCACCGCAAAGGCGAAGCTGTCTTCCGTAAGGCTAAAGCTTGAGAGATGCTCTTCTTTTGTATGAGTGAGATCCCTAAGTATGTAGCACCCGGGTAGGGTACGTCGTGCAAGCGTCTGGCGATAGAGACGACGATTCTAATCCGATATGATCCTGCAGATTCAAGTATTTCCGGTGTATGTCCAGATCGCCGACGCCACGGGACGGTGCACACGGGTGAACGTCGAGGAGAAACAGACGGAGCGCAGGGAATGCTCGGTTGCTATCGGCGAAAATGATCGCGCATCGGGAGCCAAGGATGCTGATTCTGAATGCAGGCAAGTAGAATCCGAGCCGAAGGAGTCGGCTGCCCCGGTGACCCCATTCGTCTGATGCGATTCTTCGTCGGCTCGATAAACGGCCATCCTCGACTTTCGATTAGATGGTCGACTTAGGGATGAGGAGGAGCAGTCGACCGAAGTCGATCGGCCCGTCCGAGTCCAGTTGTTTTGAGCCCAGTGGAGACCAACGAGTGCGGAAGCGGGATCAGCATAAAATGTCCGTCTCGGAGATGGTACAAGGGAAGAATAGCCACAGTAGACCATTTTTACCGGTAGAGTTGAGTCCGAGTCGCCAGACGCTGGGTGGAAGCGTGAGACTCTCGCTCCGGGAGTCGTTGGCAGCAGCTTGAAAGTGCATACGAAGCTAGCTCCATCGACTGGGTCCACGATGTTGGTCCGTTCCGTGATTTTGTATACCATGAAAGCCCCGTCGTTCGAGCTGAAGAGAAGGATGTGGGTGGGATCGAGTAGAGTGAATTCTTGGGCCAAATGAGCCCTGGGCTTGTCATGGTCCTGATCAGCCCTATAGTACTGGATGGGAGTAGAATCAGCGATATTCACTCGCATAGACGTTCTTCCTTACCCATATCATGGCTCCGGTCGTCCAGTTCCATACCTGGATCGCGAATTGGTCATATTCTCCGATTTGCAAGCCTACGATATCCTCGACGATCTCCATGCAATCTCGTCTGCCATGTTGGAGTTCACACGAGAGAGAAGATGAGAAGCAGGGAAAGGATGATGATCGAGGGAAAAGAAGCCGTAGCTTATATACATGATGTAGACTAGCAAAGCGTAGAGTAGAGGATCCGCATAATAGAGAAGGCGCTTGACAGCCTGTCAAGCGCGTAACAAAGGGTACAAAGAGAAACGTGTCCGCTATACTCCAACATGCCATACTGATTGTTGGTGGAGCAGAGGACTAGCTCACGTAACACCGAGACTCGGGTAAGCGGGTGGGCTATGCCGCCTCCTCCAATGGAAAGTAGATGAAGCTGATACGGCCTGGCGAAAAATGAGTAATGATTGAGCATCGACCGCACGTGCATTGAACATCGAACAACCCACTGGCCAGCTATAGGAAACGCTAGTATAGCAAGAATAACTTGAGCAATGTCGATAGCATAGAGCCACAGGTCTTCCAGGTGTGGTGGTAGGCTGATATGATGCGTAGTCGGCGGTCGCTCCAGGACCTTCGATCCGGGTCGGTACAACTCCACAACACCTCGCGCAGGTGCATTCAGGAAGACGCCTTGGCACGGTTCCAGCTGCCCGCGATTGACATCGAAAGATAGAGAACCAATTCAGCATCTCTGCTGGCTCTCTGAATCCTGATACACCTTCAACAACCGCGAGCGATCGGTAGGGGGAGGACCGTAGCGACCACCGTCGACCATGCCCGCGCAGGCAAGCTCGACCTTGTACTGCACTGAGGCATCTTCGATCATCTTGAGGAAATCCTTGCAGACCTAGGGCATACCGTGAGTTGATTATGCAAACATTCGAGCTGGACAACCACTACGCAAGCGTACCTGCCGGCATGCCAGGGTATCGTTGTCATCCAGGTTCAGTAGGACACGTATTTGGAGCTCGATTGGGAGGGACAACATGGTTGGCCCTGAGTGCTAGCGCGATGCATGCAACACTCTAAAGGCTAGTGTACGGATCTGTACTTATACATGCCGCAATCTGCGATTTGACGTTCGGTGGGCTGCCGGCGCATGCCGTGAGTCAGCTAAGCTTGCGCTACCTGTTGTCTCGGACCCGTGATCGTATCACAGCGATCCTTTCTTTGAGGCTCTCATTTAATCGAGAAGCGCTGGCCTCCCCCCAGGCCAAAGGAAAGATGGCTAGATCCTAGCAAGCATGCGATAGTCACTCGCCGTCGATGACCACAGAGAGGGGAATCCTGCCTCATTAAATTCGTTGCCATTGTTTTGTAAAAGTGGAGGCCGCCTTCCTGGTGGAACTAAAGGCGCTGGAAGTAGGCACACGCGTGCACGCACTGCACGGCGCTTCTGCACTCCAGAGAGCTCCCATGTCTGATGCCGCGATGAGTCCTCGGGCCCGTGCGTCTTGGACATTCCGAGTGATTGGCCTTGAATAGCTCGCATTCGGAACTCGCACAGAAGGACACAACTAAAAGAGATATCAGTTGTAGGAGGAATCCATGATGATGCGAGCATGGGTCTCCCCGTCCTCCATCCTGATCCAAGTCTCCGGCCCAACGTTCGGGTCCGGCGAACGGAAGACGATATTGCGCACGCCATGCCCCCACCCCGTGCTGCTGTATCCACCGTATCTACGCGCATACAGCTATCAGTTCTCTCATGAGGGTACGTAGAAGGCTTGGTCACAGACCCGGAGTGCTTGTCGAAGCAGAAGATGACGTTCTTCGTGATCTCGCGCTTGCACCACTCGTTACCGTGGTCTACGACATTGCGTTTAGTCGGTAACCGAACGGACATGCAGGCGATGACGCACCATGCCCCGAGATCACACCGTGGAGGTTCTTGACTTGTGCGTTGAGGGCGTTCCAGAACGGATCGTCCTTGTCGGCGTCTTGTGGGAGTGTCGTCGCCTGTGTTGATCCCGAACCGAGCTCGTCAGCTGCAAACAAAGCATCAGCATTCAAAGCGCTTTTCGCAGCACGAAGATTCAAGCACCATTCAGACCGGGGTCCTGAGTACTGTTGAGGTTCGGCTGGAGGTCCTGCACGACGTGGCTGTGCTCTGAAACTCAGTACTCATGTCGTCCGTGCGATGAAGAGGAGACGTACGGTGGGATGTGGACAAAGGCGAGCGAGCCTCGGTTCACTTTCTCAGCGGGACCCCAAGCGGCGTCCATTGTGGCGACGGTGAAGTTGATCCACGTCGCGACGTTCTCATCGACCCAGTCGGGGACACGCGTCGAGTTTACGCCCTCACTGAAACCGCCTGTAAGATGTTCACAATCAACAGTCTTGAAAGTCTTCTACTGAGCTGTGTTATGCTCACCGCGCGAGTCGAAGAACCACAGAACGAGGGAGGGTGAGTGATCTGTGACGAAGGTCAGCTCACAACATGGCTTGACAGTAGGCCTGACGGACCGGTGGCCTTCGTGTACACCTGACATACGAGGTCAATATAGTGAGCTTCTATTATCACGAGTCTCTTCATGGGAAGACTTACAGGAACCCAGTACGTTCCGGGACCATAGCCCTGGCCATTTGCCCAAGACGGGGCAAAGCGCGTGTAGCTGAGAGGCGCGACCTGCAGCTCACGCTTGATCTCTTCGGCATGCGTGATGTTGGGTTCGTTGTCATGATTCTAACGAATAACGTTGCTTGTGAATTTGGGCGTATGAGGGGTGAAAGACGGACACCATACGCCGTGTGTGGACGAGAAAGGCAGCTTGAGCTTGTTGAGAGGAGCGACGATCTCATCAATCAACTTCGTCGAGTTCTCCCGGAACGTGTCTGGTAGACTCCATTAGTCTTCTAATGCATTCAAAGAGCCATAAAATCACCTACTCTCTCCGGTAATCAAGTCACCGTTGAGAACGCTATAGTTCGACTTCGTCAGTAACTCACATCAACTCTAAACAGATGACAACACCCACACGTAGTCGGGCTTCTCGCTCGTGAGAACAGTGTTCATGAGTGTAGTGCTATTGACGTCTTGTTGGGGGCCCCAGACGTCCCAGGGGTTTTCCCCGTAGTGCAAGTCAGAGAAGACGGTGATCTTGAAGGTACCATCCTCGTTGAATGTCAGCCGCGGCTTGCCTGGATAGGGATTCAGATTGAAGTCGTCGCTCTGTGCCGCTGCTCTGGGGAAGCCAACACGATCTACGAGTTCGCACAGTCAGCTAACATAAGGTATAATCCTGGAAAGATGCCTCCTACTTTGTGCGACTGGAGCCGCGCGACAGATCCAAAGGCTGGCCACCCCAAAGGAAGCCATCAGCAATTGTAGCACGGACAGCATCGTCGTCGATATCGCGCAAAGACGCCACGACTCGCCGACAGAGCGCCGCTGGATTATAACGAGAGGAGCACAAGAAGGTCAACCAACGTGCGTCCTATAGAGGGCAAGAGCGGCTGCATTCAAACGCTCCAGCATACCAAGACGGGCAGCCGCTGTGCTTTTTTACGCATCAGAGCATGGGCAGATCTGTTCCTCGAACCAGCGAACCACCATCAGCTGCCAGCGGCATTATCAAGTGGTTGCGAAGCTCTATCTCCGCCCCGCACGGTGATTCCAATCAACAACTTGCCGTCAGGGGAGAGCTCGAGGAGGTGGGCGTCTTACGCTCGTGCGTCCTCCGGGAATCGGGATTGATCGGCCAAATCCGGACCAAGAGGGGGATCAAATGTGCCACTCAACCTTGGGTGGCTCATTCATATTCTGAGATTGATCTTGGAAAGCTCTGCATATATTGACGTGGAGTCTCATCCTCACTGGTGAGACCGCTGTGAACTCGTGCTGGTCGTCAACGGGTTCTTCGGCGCCGGATTTCCCGCGGCAGGAGTAGTCAGACCCACAAGGCGCTACCGCATATCATTCAGGCCTCTCTGAGATATGTCTAGATACGAACTTGCAACGCTCAAACAGTTCCAGTTCGAGCGGGTCCTCAATGAAGGTCTGATTCCGAGGCTTCTTCCTCGATTCCTCGCTCATAACTGTATCTAAACATGCAGACCCCATCACGCACGCGTTGACGCTCCTCGGAAAGCTCCCTGTTCAAGGAACATCTGAGTATGCAGACGCAGTTGTGCGGATTGAGAAAACGGCTCTACAAGCAGACTCCGCCGAGCACATCCTCACCCGGTCGCTCGAGAGCTCGCAGCTCATCGAGGGCACCGATATCGTAGGTTTCATTCGTTGATCCACGAACAACGGTGCTCAAGGGGTTTCGAGGCAGTACACATGGCTGTTCGGATGGCTTGCGAGCTCCTCAGACAGCCCAGATGTGAAGATCAACATCGTCCATCCGGCGACAGAGGTACACATACGGAAGGTAGGCAGTTGCAGAGGCCTTCCGGTTCCTGGTCTCTGACCAAAATTATAGTATTCCAGACAAGAGGTTGCCATCGTACACGAAACACCCGCTCTGTATGATCGCATTGTCAGACCATACATCGCTGCATTTCCTCCATCTCGTACGCAATGGTCAGTTGCACTAGCAGCCTGTCCCATGGTAACCCTGCTTAGAATGGACCTAGGGTTGAGAACATCCTCAACGGGACGTCCGAAGTCGAAAAGGTCCTCTATCGCGATCCGTCTCCAGAACACGGCTACCTCGTCTTACCAGACATGAAGTGGGACCTCATCACTCTCAGCTCCCTCTACCTCGTCGCGATCGCCTTCAACAGGAGCATCCGAAGCTTGCGCGACCTCACCAAGAGCCACCTCCCAATGCTCAAGAGCATTCGCCGGGAAATCGCGAGAGTGGTCAAAGACCGCTGGGGTCTCGGCCAGGGATCGCTGCGGATGTTCATCCATTACCAGCCGTCGTATTGTGGGTGGCGCTCTTCTCTGGCCGAGCCCCCAGGAGGAAGCTGACGGTATTCGTCAGACCATTTCCATGTTCATATCGTCAACGCGAACCATTATGGACTACCAGGGATGTCAGCGGGGCAAGCGCATCTCCTAGACGACATGATTTCCCTGGTAAGTCCATGCTTGGCGACTCCAGAGTTTACAGAAACGCTCACCCGGCTACGACAGTTGGAATGCGATCCCGATGATGGTCCATCCATCCTACAGAGAATGACTTTCACTTACGCACTAGGGGAACAGCATGGCCTGTACGAACCCATGAAGGCGGCTCAACAAGAACTGGGATACTATTGAACGTCGGACCTTGTGCATACTCCAATGTGGACTCCGCCGGGTGATAATAGACCAAGAAAGGATGTAGACATTGTCATATATGTATCATAGTATGGGACACGACTCGATCGCGTCCTCAGAGCATTACATCGCATACGACAAGAAATATGACAAACAACGCAGCACGCTGTACATGCGTGTCTCGCGGAGAGTGGTATGCAAAGGTGTCTGTAGAGATATAACATATCGCCATGAGATCAGCTATTTCGGTAGAGGGAATCATAAACATCGTCGTGCATCTCGAGTTCAGGGCTTCCAACCGGGCTTTCCGTCCTGCTGCCCCCGGCCACGACTCCCAGTCGCAGCAGCCCATTCACCGACACTTCTTACCCTCCTCAGCCGCGCAGCTTCCTCCTGTTTCTCCCTTGCCTGCATCTTCTGCAAATCCTCGAAGCCTTTCACCAGATCCTTCACGCTCCCACTACTGCTCCGTCGGTCGCTCAAGCTTATCTTGCTTGTCGACGACGCTGGGCGAGGCTCCGGGGGCGGCGCAGGGTGCAGCTCGACGAGACGCTTTGGCTGCTGCTTCGTCGGGCGCGGGATCTTCGAGGGTGGGAGGGGGGCATGGTGGAGATTGACGAGGTCCTTGGGCGGGACAGGCTTAGGCGCGGGCTTCGAGACAGGCGTCGCTACGCTGCGCGGCTTCTGGAACACTTCGGGTGGTGGGATGGGCAGACCAGGATGTGCAGGAGCAGCAGGCTTCTTAAATCGGTTGGACTTGGTGGCTTTGGGCAAGTAGGAGAAGAGGAATCCCTTCATCCGTGAGGTGATGGAACGAGGTGTTGGGAGCGGCGGTGGAGGCATAGACATAGAAACATCTTCTATGTTCATAGGGGCCTCTGACTCTGAGCGCATAGCAGTGGCGGGCGACTGAGGCGGCAGTGAGATCTCGCGGGTCTCCGCGACAGGAACCGAGGCGCTTCGGTACTCGACGGGTTGAGCCGTTGACGCGGTAGGTGTCCTAAACTCGTTCTTCGAGATCGCAACTGCCTCGTCTAGGAGGTGCGAGTAGCGGGGTGCGAGCAGCGAAGCAGGAACCGCAGGCTTACTGCTTCCCGTGCTGCTCGTAGACGCCCACCTCTGAAGACCGGGCTGCACAGAGGACTGTCGACTCGGCAGAGGGGTGAAGTCGGGCACCTCAGAAAGCGCGACTGACCCAAATCTGCCGCTAGGTGTGGGAGGTGCACCCTTGCCTGCACGCTGCTTCTTCTGCAGTGCAAGTGTCCGGCGCAACAGGTCATCTCTACATAAGTGTCAGTAAAGGATCACTATAGGTCGAGCACAGAACACGCACCTCGTCCAACCGGGCCAACATTCCTCAACAGGGACACCGCCAGTGTACTCCAAGAACCGATTCACGACCTTGTCCAAGTCGACGACATCCACAGACGCAAGCGTTGCTTCGCCCAAACGCTTATGCGACCCGAGCGAGAGCCGCTCGTCCGTAAAGCACGCGTCCAGCAGCTTCCAGTCGTCCTTCTCCCAAGCCCGAGGTCCCGACGCGTTGAAGGTCGGCCTCGCATACACCTTCTGTCTCGGCTCTGGGGTCTCGAACACCGGCCTGTCCAGGGGAAGCGGGAACTTGAACGACGCGCTTTCTCCGGCGCTGATGAACGATGCGTCCCGCGAGGGCGTGTGGAACATGCTGCGCTCGCGTTGCTCCACTGTCTGCTCCGCCTGCTGGAGGAGCTCTGGGACGGTCATCATCGGGCTGCCAGGGATGATGACCTTGTCGCCGATGATGCCGCCGAGGGTGCGTCGCCGCTGGACGGGGGTCCCGTGCTTGGCAATGCCGCCTTCGAGGGTAGATCGACGACGAGCTTTGCGCAAGGCGCTGTCGACACCAGAGTAGCGGCGCTTGCGGGAGGGGTCACGGATGATGAAGTCGTAGTCGTGCTGTTGAACAGTGAGCATCGAATTGGTCATCATACAGACTGCTTTGAAGTACCATCTTCAGAATAGCGGCTGCCCGAGCAGCGACCCGAGGGTCGTCACTGGTGATCTTGACGACACCTTCGTCCAGCTCCTCGCTCTCGTCGGCGCTATCGTCGTCGATGTCCGTCGCAACCTGCTCCGCGGGTTGGTCCTCCTCCATCAGGTCTTCCTCAGCCTCGTCGTCTAGCGGGCGCGTACTTACACCTTCCCCTTCTTGTGGTTCACGTACAACGACAGGCACGAGCGTAGCAAAGGCTGCATCAATAGACAGCATCGGCGACGCATATCCCGCTTGCGATCCCTGCACCGACGGGGACTTCCGCCTCCTCAGCGGAGAGGTGATGGACAAGAAGCCCTTCGGTCGCGCTGTCTGCTCGTTCGGCGAGATAGAACGCGCCGGAGTAAACGTTGCACGTGGAGGGGTGGGTATGGTTGGGGGCTTGGGACGGGTATCACGCTCCTCCTCGTACTCATCGTCGCTGAACTGCCCCGGCTCGCGGGAGAGCTCACGGTCGACCGTTTCCTCGTCGCTCGAGTCGGAATCGTGCGCTGCCTCGCGTTCGGGCTCCTGTGCGGAAGCGCGGGCTTGGTCATCCTCGGGGTCGTGGATGACGGACTCGTAGGAGAAGTCGGCGTCGACATGCGGCTGTGGGGCTCCCTGCGAGTCGTCCCCGTCTTCGAGCTCCATCGAGACCTCTTCTTCAGGGGAACCTCGCGGTGCTACGAACCGGACGTGGTGCTCATGCCCGTACTCCTCTCCTTGGACGTCGACGATAGGGAGCGGAGAAGGCGATTTCTCGCGCGGCCCCTCCCGGAAGGTATCCTGCTGCTCATGCGAGGTATGAAGAACGTCCGGCACATCCACCGACAGGTCCACCTCCAGCCCAGCAAGCCCATCAATCGTGTCCCTCGAACTGCCCTCTTCAAACTCCTCCCTCACAGTCACATCCACGCGAACGTCGGCGCTCGCGGGCGTATTCAAGAAAAACACGTCATCCTCGTCCAAGCTCTCGCTCTGCGCCCCGTCCTCTCCGTCCGGCACAGCCTTCAGCGGAGGCGAGCTCGAGCTCGGCAAGCTCCTCCTTTTCCCCCCAGAGCCAGGGAACGGGCTGCTCGGGTTCCCCCACGCGTCCTGGCGCGAGCGCGTGCAGCTGCTCGGCGGGTCCGCCTTGGTGGGTACCGTCAGCACCTTGAACCGCCCCGTGTACTCGCCCGTCTGGTCAAAGTCGTCCGAGTCGGACCCAGAGTCGACGTCGTCCCACGCCCCAGGGTCCTCTTGCGGGTTCGTGAGGTCGAAGATGGGCGGGGCACCCGCGAAGGAGTCGTCGTCGTCGTCGTCATAGTCGTCGCCGTTCTGCACGCCGAAGTCCAGGCTCGAGTTTAAATCGGGCAGGCGCCCGACCCTCGTCTCAGGTGGACTCGCGGAGGAAGACGCGATGGAGGGAGTCTCGCGCGCATGCGTCGAGGCCGGGGTCCCGAGGGCCTCAGGGGCATTCGTGCTCGCGGGCTGCTGCGTCTGTAGCTTCGACGGCCTCGGCCTCGATTTCGGGTGCCCGGGCAAGCCCTTGAGCAGGAGCGGGTCGTCGCTGGGCGACGGAGGCGGAGGGGGCACGCTCAGGTCGATCTCGGGGGGTTCCTTCTTGACCGTCAGGACGAGCTTCTTCTGGTTCTTCGGCGCTGTGGATTTGCGTTTGCTCGACTTCGATATCCTCTCCGGCGAGACGGTGGCACGCGGTGGGGTGTGAATGATCTCGCGAGGGGGTGTGAACCGCTCGCGAGGTGGTTCGTAGGGAGGCATCGGGGTCGAAGAGCGTCTTCGCGCAGAGATGCTCTGCCGGGATATGGTAGGGAGGGGAGGGACGTAGTCGGCATTGGGATTTGTGTGATGAGGAGACAGGAAGAGCGTGCGCTTTGTCGGGGACTCGCTCCTGCGCTGGGAAGATGCGCGAGTGGGTGTCGTAGGCTCTTCGAGTTCGGCGGTGCGGCGGAATGGGGAGCCGTGCTTAGTCTGCTTGCGGGGCTTGGGATTAGGCGTGGCTTCGGTGACCAGTACGCTGCTTGATGAGGCTTCATTGTTGATGATTGAGTCGAGAGCCGTGTGAGAGGAAGAACGGTTGTGTGCATTACGCTTCCGCTTGGATAGCGCAGTGCTCTGCGTAGGGGGGTCGGCGAGCAGCGATGGCGTGAACGGTTGCTGAATGGGCACGGATCGTGCGCGGGCGGTCTATACGAAGTGTCATATTAGAATGCTAGAACGATGTAAGCAGATTACTACTGCTGCTATGACAGCGCGATACTGCCTGCGAGAGCTCCTGCCACTCATCCACCACTAACGTCATGAGAAAGTGGTCGCGAACTCGCATAACACGTCGAGTATCGTGAAATCTCACACGCAGATGTACCATGCAGCATTCTATTGTCCTAGCAGACAAGTAACGTTCATGAATAATTGCTCTCATCACTCACCGAGCCCCGACCATGTCTCAGTATCTCCTCCGGGGGTGGGCTAAACAACATCCTGGAAGGATCCATATCTTCCTCCTGTGTCTGGGACGATGGAGGAGTCAAGAGGCCAGATTCCGTGAGCGAATCTTCATCTTCACGATCGGCATTAGTCCTGGTGTTCAGACCGGGTGATCGCTTCTGCCTCGAGGACTTCACGTTGCGCTTCGGGGGCAGTAGGTCGTCGAGAGAGGGGAGGTCTTCGCAGTGGTTCATGGAAGACGGGGGCACATTCTCCATAGCATGCAATGGAATAAACAATAGACAGGAGCCTGCGTCGAATAAGCGGGAAAGCAAACCAAGACGAGTGTCGAGAACAAGGCCGGCCTCGACCGAACCGATATCCGAGCGCGGTTCGACTTCCCCAGCACGTCACGCGACCGCGTACAATTCCGCGCGTGACTTTCACACGCGTTCGCGTCTCAGTCTTTCCGGTCTCTCTTGTGCCGAGTCTTAAGTGTCCACCAACGTCCGAGTGTCCGCAAGGCTACGTTCGACTGATATAACACACCCAGAAGATGTAACATCAACAGATTCAAAGAAGGCATTCAAGCCTGCACCAGGATAGCCCAGTCGCTCGTAACCGCCACCTTGGGGTCCCGGATGACAAGCACACTCGCCGTGCCCTCTTTCTTGTCCGCAGACGCAACTCCAGCGGTGATCGTCGTCGTGGGCCTGCCTGCGAAGCCGTCAAGTGGCATCGTCGAAGGCGGCGGGAAGGAGCTTCGGTGGACGTACAGTGACCGCATAAAATAGCGCACCACGTGCAATAAGCGCCCAAAGGAGGCGACAGAATTGCGGCTCTCCTGCGTTACCGAGGCCACAGGGTGGCACAAGAATTGGGAGATGGGTAGATAGAAAGCTGAAGGCCGTAGATATATTAGGGTGGGAGTATCAGCGTGATTGCTTGGGGAGGTATAGTGATAGGAAGTGCGCATAGCCTGTTTTATGGGGGCAAAATGATGGCAGAACTATGACATCATACCATTGCATCGGGCTAGGGCGGAATTGACATATAATACACTAGGAATGGTAGGCTACATATCACATGAGTATAATGGTCTTCCGCCAGGAAGCACGATAGGGAGAGCCGTGGTATTCAGACGCTCAGAATGTGCTTCAAGTACCCTGATGACAGAGTTGCATATCGCTCAGCCACATCACAACGTGCTACCATCAATATCACTGTATGTGAAGTACGTAGAAACCTCTATGCATATCTGCTACATAGACCTCTCCTTACTCAAGTCTGTTTGCAATGTGAGGGAAGGTTCCAATCGCTCATTTTAGCGCTGATTGTATTGTTGAGTTCCCACCCTTCTCGGCCAGTGCCATGATGACCCAAGTTTATAGATGCCTATGCATTTTGTACAGGGGTATGTATTGTGTATAATCGCGAAATTCTGTCTTGACTGAATGGAAGGTCATTTTTCTGCTATTTTACTATAATTTCCCCCCAAAAAACAGACTCTGTGCACTTCCTATCACTATACCTCCCCAAGCAATCACGCTGATACTCCCACCCTACATATCTACGGCCTTCAGCTTTCTATCTACCCAACTCCCAATTCTTGTGCCACCCTGTGGCCTCGGTAACGCAGGAGAGCCGCAATTCTGTCGCCTCCTTTGGGCGCTTATTGCACGTGGTGCGCTATTTTATGCGGTCACTGTACTTCTCGACACGCACATTGGCGATGCTCTTCGCAAAGTCGTTCCCGCTGTCGTACGCGGCGAGCGCGACGCGATCGACCGCCTCCGCAGGCTTCTGCGCTGCGAAGTCACGGCTGCTGATCCACACGCACCTGCTCTTCTTGGCCAGCTTCTCGACCGCAAACTCGCGCCACACGAACTGGCCCTGCTGATGCGAGTACGTCTCGCCGTCGTCGAGGTAGAGTTCACCGCGAGCGCTGCCATCGGAGCCGAGCGCGACGCGGAGCGTGAAGGGGTCGTGCTTCATTAGAGGAGACGAGCGGCGGGGGCGCTCGCGTGTCGGAATGATGGAGCCGCCGCGGACGAAGACGGGGATCTGATGGAGTTCGGCGGGGACGGTGATCAGCTTGCCCTTAGAGCTGCTGCTGCGGTAGGCGTGGTCGTTGAAGGAGTCGTAGTACACCTTCAGGACACATGTATGTCAACATATGTCTAGACAATCAGAATGAGACCCCGTACCTGGTCCTCCGCGGGAAGGTATACGATTTCCTCTGTGGCACCCTTGCGAGTGACGGGTTTGACCGACAAGCCAGAGCCGCCCACAAAGAACTGGTCGTCGAGAGAGAACCCTTCCTCGTCCTGCGGGAACACGACGAAGTGCGGGCGCACGACCGGCAGACCCGTGACGCTCGCCTCCCGGAACGCGGTGTACTACACAGCGAGCATGGCGTACCGCAGACGCAGCATGTCGCGAACGATGCTCTTGTAAGGCTCGTTCAGCAGAAAGGGCTCGCGGCGCGTCGCGTCGACGTGCGCGTGGGCGCGGGAGAATGGCGAGAAGACGCCGACGCCGTACCACCGCACGAGCATCTCAGAGTCGGGGTTGCCGAAGTATCCACCAACGTCGGCTGCAACGAAGTACACCGTCAGTGGTGGACAAGAAGCCGGAAACAGCGAATGCTCGACGCACAGCCAGCAAAACTGAAACCAGCGATGTTGTTTGCCAGCACCATCTTCACGCCAACGGCCATAGGTGCCGAGTTTGTCGCCAGTCCACGTTGCGCCGAAGCGCTGGGAACCGGCGTAGAAGGAACGCGAGAGGACAAAAGGCCGCTCAGGGGGATCCGTCCGCGCCATCGCGGCCTGCGACGTGAGGTTGTGCTGTGACAACGACAGATCAATGAGTCCAAACTTCAACGACAATGAAATCTGTCCTTACGAAGAGCATTTCGTTAATGTTGTGAAGATCACGGTGTTCCCACCCGCCGTAGTGGATGTTGTCACGCGGCATGCTTATCTCAGGGCCGTTGAAGACCGCAGGCTATGGGATATGAGCACGCAAACCCTACCAAGGGGATACAAACGGCGTACAAACCTCGTTCATGTCGTTCCAGATGCCAGTGTCGACTGTGCTGTCAACCCACGACCACTGACCTTCCTGATGCTCGGTCTTGAACAAGGACTTTCACCAGTCCCAGGTGCGCGGGTTGAAGAAGTCCGCCCAAGCACTGCTCCCACTCCAGCGCCAGCCTTCGTAGTCCGTCGTATCGTCACCATTCTTGATGAGGATGCCCAGCTCGGCCGCTTGCTTGTATACAGGGTAGTCGTTCGTGCGCTTCAAGTGCGGGTCGACGATCACGACCATATGGCGCCCCACCGCCTCCACGTCCTTGATCATGTCCACTGGGTCCGGGAAGTGCCTCTTGTCCCAGATGAAGTACTTGTGCTCCTCTGCATACTCAATGTCCAGCCACAACACATCAACCGGCATGTCCGCCTCGTCGAAGCGCTTCTGGACCGTGCGCACGTCGTCCGAGCTGACGTAGGCCCAGCGGCATTGGTGGTAGCCGAGGGCCCACTGCGCAGGCAGCGCAGGCGTGCCCGTCAGGCGGGTATATTGCGCGAAGATGTCGGCGGGCGTGGGACCAGGGATGATGAAGACGTCAAGGATGCCTGTCTCCGAAATCCAGTGCGACGTCGAGGACTTGGGAATGGGGTGGCCGATGTCGATGAACGTATCCGAACCGACCGCGTTGAAGACAGCCGCAGTCGAGTCTGCCGAATGCGCGTGCATGAGCGGAATAGACCCGTAAAGCGACGTGGTCGAGTCCGCAAGGTACTCAGGTACTCGAACACATCCGCATTGTACAAGCGGTAGGGGTCGGGGTAGTATGCGTTCTCGCCTGTGGTTGTGGGGAGGTCGAGGCGCGTTGCGTGTTGGGCGATACCATATACATGGCCATGGTTCGGGAAGTCGATGTCAATAAATAGAGACTCAGGACCTAACAGATCAATGAGAACGCGAGACTCTGTACATTCGGCGGTGCCTGAAAGACCCACCCCTGGGCTTGCAATCTACGAAAGAACGGAAAGTCTCCTCCCACCAGCCATCCTCCTCCTCTCCCTCGAACCAGGCGATGCGTGGGTGGTTATTGAGCACTACCTGTGCGCTGCCGTCGGTATCGAATCGCCCCTTGCCCTTCGCCACGGATTCTTTTGTACGGAAATGCTCCATGTGCAGGAGACCGCGGTTATTAAGCACAACTTGTTCCTTCCATTCCGAAGTAGCGTAAATTTGAGAGGCTCAAACGCGACCTTGACCTCGACTTCCTTCTCTGCGCTGTACACAGCACTGACGCCATCCCTTCCGAGCTCCCACTGCTGTTGACCGACCTTCGGCTCCTCTAACAACGCCCACGACGCGCCTCATCATAGTGCTTTCGGAGTCCGTCCACTTCGTCCATCCGTACGCGCACAACCCCATCGTCATGTATCCGGACATCGAGACCGAATTTGACGTCAGGATATATAGATGACCTAATTGCCGCAATAAACGACGTCTGGTCGCGTGAGAGAGCAGCGCTAGATGCATCTACAGCGTATGGTGATGTCCAGGAAGGGCTTTGGGCTGCCCTAATTATAACAGACAGCGCACGTCCACATCGACAGAAGCCAGCCTGAGAACATGTCTTGAAGTCTTGACTTTTGAACGCGAGGGTCGCTGGTGTAGCGGCGAGCACGAAGAGAAAGCCAACTGTCCGCATGGGGAGCAATTAACAGATATCCCAGTAGGTACGTTCAAGCATATGGCACAATGAACGAGAGGGCCGTAGGAAGGAGGAGTAAGGAACTTGTGTTCAGAGTACTACATCATATGTAGTGCGGCCATCGCGGCCCGTCAAGTCATAGGGATATCACACGTGACTGTCGGGTTTAGCGAAGCTCGCTCTGGAGTCTAGAGTTCCCATTGACTGCTAAGTTCTAACGCCCACTTGCTCCATCTCATGGCCCAGAGGACTAGAGGCGACGGCGACTGGTCTTTCTCTCTGCGCTCGAATAATTACGCTTATGATGACTCCAGCTCTGAAGACGAATGTGACCAGGAGAGCTCTCACCCAGGATCCAGCAGGACTAGCAAGCACGACCGGACGCAGCCTCCGTCGGAGGAGGCTCGCCTGCTGGGAGAACTGGACCTCGCTTCTCGGACGGATGCTGCAAGCTACAAACCGAACCCTTGGACAATTGCCAAGGCTAATGCTGCCTCACGAGGGTCGAAGGCTGCAGCCAAACCGGCCAGGGAGGTCCCTCCGAACCGCGGAAGCAGCGCACGACCCTCAGTCCTCGATCTCCTCCGTACTCAGCAAGCCGGCTCAAGTGCACGCAAGCTGGAGACACACTTTTCTCTTCAGACTTCCACTCAGCCTGCTCCGGCTGAGGTTTCTCAGGCCTACGGGCCTCCGCATCCACACGACGCGCATATACTCTCTGATGACACTCTGGTCGACGTCTCCTCTCTCGACCCTGATGCTTCTAAGCTCTGTGACGATGACGCTACTCCTTTTAACGTGCCTCCATCTCCTGTCCGTCATCAGACATCTCTGGGACCTCTCACAAGTTTTCTAGGCCCGACCGAGGCACTGCCAAAGCCCGAGGATGCAGTTCACACGCAACATCGAAATATACCAACAGGTCATCATGACGAAGTGCATACAAATAATCACACAGTTGCGCAAGCTCTTCTACAGCAGGCTGACAGGTCGCCAATTGCCGGGAGAGATCTACGCCACATGTTTTTCCAATCGTCTGCCATCAGGCAGAAAGGCGGCGGCGCCCCAAACAAGCCACCTGTTGCGCAATGGCCCCAGTCTTTGCATGTCATCGGTCAGGCGTCTCGCGACAAGGCGATCTCCCACTTCCCAGGCAAGTCTTATAAATCATCTTGGTCGCTCCTGGCATCACTGGGCGCATATATGCAGTATCGGCCTCTCATACCTCAGCACCAATCCCACGACCTCCGAACTTCGGACGAGAGCGAAGTCCTCTGTACGATGCGGACTTGCTCCTTAGGCGAACAGCCTTCCATAGCTCCCCACAGCGCTCTTGTGCACGGTCTTCTCCGATCCCGGATCGCGCATATAGCCCTCTATCTCACGCTTTCGCACCACACCGGGCGTCCACTTCGCCTCCGTATGACACGGTATACGATTATCCTAACGATAGAGAAGCGTTCCCAGAGCCGATGTTCAGTCGCTTTGCCTTCCGTCCTTGCCTCTCTTCTCGCTCCCAGTCAAGTGCACGGACGCCTGTACCAATCAAGGATGCGTTCCAACCATCGCCTCCACCTCCGTTTCGGAAGTCACCTCCGCCAGCCCCGTCATCGATGCGACTTCCGCCTCGTGCCTCGAGAGCCTTACGTCTCTGCGCCGCAGACGATGTCGACCCGGAGCCTCTTCCATCCAAGAAGCCTGACAAGCGAGACGCATACGACGCCTTTAGCTCTCCAGACTCCGCGTGGTCTACTATTTCAGCAAAGAAGCGCAAGGAGAAGGGCAAAGACCAACGCAAGGACGCCTCCGTACAGAAATTCAAGCTCCGACTACGAACTGTTCCCCCGAACAACAACGGACGCAAGTCTTACTCGAAGCGCGACGACGTAGAGGCCGCACCGGCGGAGGCGAAGCCGCAGCCCAGGGTGACACTTTACCTCCCGCCGCCGCCTAAACCTCAGCAACGCGACTCCAAGCCCCTGCCGGCCAGCCAGCTTCCTGCAACCCGGCAAGGTGGGTCGGACGACCTATCTCCCCCAAGCTTCCGTCCCATGGCGATCCGGCGTGTTGCCCCAGCTCACATGTCGCTCTCTGCGTACCGCGCTCCCACGCAAGGGCGCCGCTCGGAGGAGCTGTCTTCAGACTCGCTGCGGGACCACCACGCCACCTACGAGGGAGAGGACGAAGCTCCGACTCTCACCTTTGACGAGGGCCATCTCTCTCATCACTACCAACATGTCCGACGAGCGATTGCAGAGGTACGACCTTACTGTCTATACCCTCGACAGCAATTTTGATTCATCTGTCCGCTGACGACCTGTCCTACGGACATAGTAGCGCAAACGGTTGGCGGCCGAGACCTGGGATCTTCTCGACCTTCCGAGCTGCGGGGTCGTCTTTCAAGACGAGTGGAGAGCCCAGCCCGAGACGACCGATGAGATTCGAATAATTTGCTGGGCGGCACATCGTCGGGATACCTGATAGAATGTCGTTAACGCCTGAAATCATGCGAAAATAGGACAACAAAGACACGACCCCATGTATTCCATCTTCCATGTTCACGCCCATCCATCAATACCATCCTCAAGTTGCTTGAAGATATTGGCGTCCGCGATTGGAGCGTATTACACATCGTTCGAGAGCAAGGTTAGTCACAGCATTGAAGTGACCGCCAGCCAGAATGTCGTAGCCGTTCACGAATCGCTTGTATGCAACGACGGGGTCCGTGTTAGCCTGCCTCGCGGCCGTTGTGGCGTCTGCGACCGCTGATGTCATCAAAGCTGACGACGAGGGGTTTGCACTTGAGGGCAGGCCCCTAGAAGGGACCAGGGAACATAGTCAAAGCGTCCCTACTCGCGGATGTCAGGCCGGCAATCCCGCCTATACCCGAAGTGCGCGTTACGAGACCTAGAGGTTCACAACGTCACACACACTTCGATGGTTTGACTCCGTGGCGCAGAGCTGAATCAAGTACTCATGCCATGTTTACTGCAATGAACAGCCGCGCGAGATGATATTTTGATCAAGGCGGCGTTGCAAGTTCACTGCCAATTACATCCATGTGCTGCAAACAGACTCCGTGAGATGCAAAGCTACCATGAGATTCTCGGAACGTCGGTTGTTGAATGCTGCTGATTATAAGCAACTTCGACAGAAACGTGTTTCCACACAATTTCAAGAGCCTCATTGTCATCGCATGCACCCTTCACGCCGCCGTGTACGGAAGCACTAGCGTCTTCGCGTTCCCAGGAACAGCCCTATCATTAAGCTCCTCATCGTCGTCTCTTCCTGAGCGTTCATGCTCACTCCGATAGATCTGCGTCTGTTCTCCGAGAAGGACCGGAATCAACAATTGGACACAGCTGATGGTCGAACCATAATTACGTCTGCATACGCACACTATCGCGCGAGGAAGACGGGCAGAGCACACAACATAGCGGCCTAGACGCAGGCAGAAGGCCAGGTGCGACGATCCGTGTCTGGGCTGCTCTTGCAAGAGGTTGACCAGCCGGACGAACCTCGATGAGCCAGAGAAGGACCATGCGTATACAATGGCGAGGGAAGAAATGGACGAAAACACGATTATCAATGTCAGGTATGCCTCTTTGACTGTTTGCAGCGTATAGATCGAAGAGCAGATTACGGGGCACAAGATTTGTCACTTGTGGTACATACATGGGCATGAGCCGACTTTCCCGAGTTTTGAATCTGCGAGCATCGCCTCCGTCCCTCCGGCGAGGGCGCCGGAGGGCGACATGTCATCAGGTACACTACTGTGGTTGTATTTGTACTTGTGGCCTCGGCTTGCACTAGGGGTGCTCAATTCTTGTCGGTCGCTCAGTTGCTCGCGCGCCTATTGGGCGCCTGCCTAGCTGCATTCAAGGTCAGCTCAAGCGTCTGCAGCACAGCGAGCAGAGACACGCAGGCAGCGGGCGCAGAGAGATCGACAAGATCGTCTCATGCTAGGTTTGTTAGGCCCGGGAAATCAGCCCAGCAAGTGAATGGTGACGTCGGGAGAGCTTATAAACTCGTTGACCTGGACTTATTGTACACAATGCGCCCAAGTCGGAAACAGAATCAGCACGACATATATATGGTTCAGCTGAGGGTGCCGCTCTAGGCTCGATGGCAACTGGACTCAAACCTTGTGAGGCGACTCCATATCTCGAGACAAGCAACTTTATAGCTTCTGAATTGTCAAATCCTCGCGTCGCTCTCTAGTCCCAGCTCGGGGGCATCATGCGGTCGTGTTGCACCTGCTGCCTGCGTGTCTCTGCTCGCTGTGCTGCAGACGCTTGAGCTGACCTTGAATGCAGCTAGGCAGGCGCCCAATAGGCGCGCGAGCAACTGAGCGACCGACAAGAATTGAGCACCCCTACTGCCGCTCACCCAAGAAGGTTTGCGGCGTCTAACATGGCCGTGTATCAATCCAACTACCCAGCCTTCACATGAAACTACCATTGATACAAACGAGAATAGAGCTACAACAGAGTAAGGGTTGACGTGTGGCCTCCCGCGTCACCCGTCGCGCCTGCTTCACGGCGAACCACCTGGGTAGGAAATCAATGCTGTGTTAGACGTCGGAGGCTCCGTCTTATTCTTCCAAGACAACCAATCATTCTCTTTTGGCGGCTGATGATGATAAGATTGAAGCTGCAGAATAACTCGAACTAACGGGTCGTCTTGTATGATCGATCTAGACGAGAGCGACGAGGAGAAATCGGCATAGAAACCGACCCATGATGGAATCGCGTGAATCAGCTGCAACAATTTATGATCCTCCAAGCTACAATATGATGATGGTACAGATGAGAGCCAGTGATTCGTCCAGAAAGAATGCAGCAGGGCAGTACAGCGGTTCGTTCATGGTGGGGGCTACAACGAGGTTTGCAAACCTCTGAGATTACCAGGCCAGGGAGGTATCAAACCAACCCACGCGGTCTTAGTGATACGCGTCGGTTAGAGTTTCGGTTAGAGTTCGGTTAGGATTTGGGTTTGGGTTTGGGTTCGGGTTAGGCACTGCTCACACCTCCTCCTCCCCCAAGAGGGGAGGCCGTCTGTATGGATTTAGAGTGCCCGCCTGATCTGAGCTCTCGTCTGAGCTCTCCTCAGAGCCTACTGCCCCGTCTACCCCTCCTTCGCCATCCGCATCATCGTTTCCCTCCGCATCATCCCCATCCCCATCCCCTCCTTCCCCCTCGTCCTCCTCAACCACAGCCTCTCCTTGGAGCCACGCCAGCTCATCCTCCTCTTCCTCATCTAGATCCCGTAAAGGAATCAGCTCCGTACCATCCTGCACCCCCCAACCACAAGTAAGTGCCGGACGACGCGACGAGTGAGATGCTGCACACTTACATACAAGCCTGCCATCGTTGTGTGCCCGACGCCCAGAGGGCACAGCACATCCTCAGGAATCCAGGGCAACCCTGACATGGCGAGATTGGCGGAGACGGTGTTGCGCATGGTGGTATAAAAGTGGGTGGAAGGTTGTATAAATATTGGGTGGTGGGTGGTGGGTGGAGAGGGTGGTTGGGCGTCTGGGTCTCAGGTCGCCCCGTCGCATGGCGAGATGGGTATGTAGCACAAGTGAGAAAGGGCACAGGCCGTGACCTCAAGGCATCCACAGCAAACCCAACGCCGCGAGATCGGTGTGAGTCCTCAATATCTGGCCAAGGTCGCGGTATCAGCACATTGTCAACTTTGCAAGGAGCGGACCTCACTCACCGACACACATACTTGTCTGCACCTGCTTGCTAGGCCGTCCGCCGCATCTGCTTGGCCATCCGCATCCTGGGCCTCTTCTCCTTCCCCTCCGACGTCGTCGTCGTCTCCTATCTCGTCCTCCTCTATCTCTTTCTCGCTGACCTCCAAGTTTTCTTCCGGCCACGACAGTACTAGAGTTTAGGAGAGAGGCGGAGGAGAATTCAGTCATCCGTCAGTACGCACGGAGTGCGTGATAAGTACACGGCGTAGATACAAAAGACATTGTCACCTTTGCAGACACCTAATGCAAGTAAGTAACAATCAACAAAGATACGATGGTACGTCTTACCAGATTATTGTCCTCCTTGTCTCTTCTATCGAATGACGTGTACGAGCTTTCCGCATCGCTCTGCATCTGCATACCCGAAGTCCGAATTAGTGCCTGGAGAGGCGGCAAATGAGATAATGGAACTAGACGAACAAGCCAATCATAGTGGTCTTGGCAAGGTCCCGAGGCATCCGCACCGTCCTGGATATCGCGGAATTGACATGGAGTGTATGGGACAAAGAACACGAACCATGAATGATAGGTAGAAAGGAGCGGTTCTGCAAGTGGAGACAGCGGCGGAGGCGACTCCCAGCGTCTCGGCGGCCGGTCGCCGCGCCGCTTGTGTTGACAACCTTTGTCCCCCCGCGTGGCAACGTGACAAACGCGGACGACCCTTCCGGCAGTGAAGAACATAGTATGGAAAACATTGGCATTCTTTCAGACTGAACCAACCCCAATGTGACATACGCACTCACCAGCTTCAGTACCGGAGACTCACATACCCATTGTCCCCCACATCACCTTTTGTCCCTATGTTCATCTCCTCTCGGTAGCTATCTCATTTTTTACACAAAGACTAGCCGAAGGACTCACCTTTCCAGCCGCCCACAAGCCCGTTACGCCCTGCTCCGCAGTCCTGACTGTGCGAGCATTCGTCAAGGACAGATGCTTGTGATATTCTAGATGTGCCACAGATACGTATATCGTTTAGTCTTCCTGCACATTAATCAGATGCCACAGTGTTCGCGCTGGGCGTAAGTAGTCACTGACCAGTTGTACGCGTAGAGTTTTTGAAATTCCTGTCTCCGGGACCTACGCGCTCGCTCGTTCGTTGACAACAGTCTTATCGCTCCACGGAACGCGTCGAAGGCGTACACATGTGGAGCGCGTCCATTTTTCTTGATCCATGACGCAATCCACGAACCGTGGCCACGACAATCGCCCTTTCAACCTCTCGGCTAAACTGGTACCAAAGCAAACGACAGCGTGGAAGCATGTATTCAGAGGAGCGAACAACAGACACAAGAAAGTTCATGCGTTTCGTATATATGCATAGGCGCATCTCATGATAGCTCGGCTTGGGCCGCCATCATATTTCCTTTGACCTACACCCACAAAGCAGCGCGGATCGTCGACCATTACGTAGTGTGGCTACCGCCACACCACTCATAGATGGCATAAGAGGATGATTTTCGGTAGGTGATATCGAAGCTCATTGGTTCACGAAACCCTGCCTCTGACTACTCAATGCGTGATACTATTCGAGGGTGCCTAGTAGCGCAAGATTACCGCGGTGTGTCACGACCCAGCAAAGGATGAGTGCTGAGTTAGTATCTGGGCCGGAAGACTTAGAATAGACCTTCACATCGGGCCCAGAGATCAAGACAGAGCAGTCAGTCTCCATCAATTCGGTGGCATATACTTTCAGGTTTTCGTTTGGCAGCCTCCACAAGTCGAGAGCACGATATTCAAACCTCTGCTGTGTGAGGTATTCTGCCTGTGATAATGCCAACTATTTCCTGCAAACGCCATATTCTATTCATAGTGACTGCCATCGCACAACAAGGGAGTTGGGCGATGGCAGTCATCTCTTCTGATCTGACAGGCGCCCATAGCTTCCTCCCCGCATGCCGTGAGGAACCACACGCTCTCTGCTACGCAACAGATGCTCACAGTGGTATAGTGCGCACCTGTGATAGCACTGCTTGGATGGGTGCTGTTGCAAGTCAATCAGCTCGTTGGTGAGCTCATTGGCCCCCCATACATCCTACAGTCTGGGATGACTCGACATACTCCCTCACGTATCCCTGGTGTTGCATATGCTTCTCGTCCTTTAACGTAGCATTCTGTCTCTGTCGTGCTCGCAGAAAATTGATTTTTTCTATTCCGTTCAAGCTCGTCAACTGGAAAGATATGGGGAAGCTGCGTCAGCATCTAGAAGGTCGTCCAATCGGCGACTCACGGCTCACCTCTCGTCCTTGCCGATCCCTGCTCTGTCTCTGCTACCACGTTTGCGCAAAGGTTGAACACAGACTTCCCCCGAGAGTGATCACGGGTGAGCTTTCAGCCTTTACCCTCTGGGGCGATCTCAGTGATTGAGGTTTCAGCAAGAGTTGTGCGGGTTAACGCTAAGCGCCAAACTCCTTGTCTTCGTACCACCGCGGCTAGGAACGTCTTGCTCTCATCCATTTGTCTCACACAGTTCCCTTGTGGCTTCTGGCAACCGCCGTAGATTCTCAGGGCATTTCTGCCGACCCCATCGCCCTGGGCAGTGGTTGCCATGGACGTTGCTCGTTGACATCTGTGCGACGCTCGCTCAATCCTCACGGCAATAACACAGGCTAGTTGTGGAAAGATCGGTGGCCAAGGACGAGGGAGCCAGTCACCTTGGTGTTCATTGTAGGATTGGTACGTTTCCATGTTGTCCACCGCACCTCTTCCCACTCTCCGCACCCCCCTTCCTACACAGCTAGTTCGAGCTCTCATCTGTTCTGCAACGTACGAACGATGATTTATCATGTTCTTCCGACCCTGCTCAACAATATGTGCATTGCATGGCTGGGGCTCGAGCCGATATCTGCCCTTCAGCTCATCACACTGCCATACTCCAGTTTGTGGTCGGTATTGCACCGCAGACGTGACGGTGCTCCGCGATGCGCCGAGCAGTGTCTCAGGTAGTGCGCGGTCCACCTTCGAGAGGGGTGGACTGAGCGCGATGGGTATGTATGACTGCGGCTCGGGCATCTGCGGAGGAGTGAGAGCGTCTTTGAAACGCTCCTGCTCAGAGTTTTGTTGCCGCAGCAATGGGCATGTCCTGCGAACACCATGCCTGCTGCATATCCGAGGCTCTCATTGACGCATCGCACACAGCCGTAGGACCTATCAGACAGCGTTAGCAACTTGGCTTGCCGTGATGCGATCTGGAGTCTCAATTCAGGGACGCTGACTCTTCTCGCCCCCCCCCTCGGCGGTTCGGGCCCCGTCATGGACAATTCTTTTGCGAGATCGCAAAGGGGATCACGGCCCTTGATGTCCGTCCTCTCCTACGCCCCTGTGGGGAACAGGAGTGCAGCCAGGAGAAAAGGCTGCGTGCGGCCCGGGGCATCTTGTTCGCCATCGTCGGTGGCCCGCACGTTTCCTCGGTGCTGTCCATCATCGTCGCCTTCCAGGCTTGCTCGAGCCCATCGACGATCGCAGCGCGAGTCGTGCCGGAGCACATCCAACCGTCCTATCCAAGCTTCGCGTTCTCCCGCAAGAGGGCACCTTCCTCCTGCCGTCGAAATTGCGCGCCGAATACCCCTCCCCGATGATCGATATCGTTGGCGGAGTTCCGGAAGTCGGCCGATCGTGTCCCGTCACCACCAACACACGGTTCATCGACTTCCGGGCGTTCTCCCCGACTCCGACACATCGCGAGACTCTTTACGGGCTCATATCCTTCGACTTGTCTCCGAGACGTATGTGCTCAGGCGACGTCGAATTTGACACTCGCCGACAACTCCCCAGAGCACCGTGACATCTGTCGAAGCCGGGCGTTGACTCGCTGACGATTCTAGCGTCGGGCCCCCTCTCCCCGGCCACGCGCAAGCTGCAGGTGGTTCCGGCGAATGCGCCCGCAATGGGCGGTCTCACCCACGTAGTCTTTGACCAACGGGGTCATGGAAAAGCATGCAGCGCTGTCCCGGCGTCGTTTGGTCTCGACAGGTCTGAACGAAGATGATGGCACGATGAATCTGCCTCTGCTGCGACCATCGGTGATGACATCGCGAGGGATACCGTCTCAAGAGCTCCGGAAGTGCTGCAGTTAGATCTTCTGGAGCGGGCTTGCGGAGTCCCGGGACCCCGCTCAGAGTGTGCGATTATCCGAGTCTGGGGCCTACGTTTCAGGAGGCGTCGTCACGTGTAGACAGTGCCTGCAGATCTCGATATTGAATCACCAGGGTTCATGAACCTTCGCGTGGAGGCTTGTGTGCAGACTCTACGGCGCAGCCGTACCCCTTCGTTGATTATCCGCCCGGGTACAACTCCTGGGTTGATCGTCCATAGCACACGGAGGCGTACGCACAGCATATGCATGACGAATGTCATTGTATAGGAGGTGACGACGACTATATGCCCAAGGCTGATGAATACACGAGGATGTTCAATGATATGTTACAGGTATAGTACAGCGTTTGCTTTTCGTCTACTGAACACCAGGAATGCCGCGTCCTGACGCAATACTTGCATCAGCTACGTGCGCATATAAGCTCAAAGAAGTCGCGACTCACCTGCCTTCGACTGGAACTCCTTGTTAACGAAATCGCCGATCTTGTCTGCGTTGGCGTCACTCTGAATCGGAGGCATCGGAACCAGACAGAGAAGGTGAGCGTTGAGGTCTGTTACTCACGATGTTGACACCGAACTTCTTGCCCGCAGTCTCCAAGCTCTTGTCGAGCCAGTCCTGCTTCTCGGCGGTCTGCCCGGTCCCGGTCCCGGACTGAGACTGATTCGCGTTCTGAGACTGACCCTGGCTCTGGTCCTGGCTCTGGTTCTGGTTGCCCTCGTAGCCGCCAGCGACGCCGGAGCCGACGGCCCCCCGGCCGCCGCCCATGTCGCCGTCCTGGCCACTCATCTGGTCGTACGCGCCCGTGTCTTGGCTGTCTTGGTTGTTGTTGTTGTAGCTGTCAGACATGGTGGATGATTGGTGTGAGGGGGAGGGCGCGTGAGGTTGTGCACGAGGTGGGAAGAGGAAATGCGAGGATGGATGTGAGGGCCAAAGGGGAGGGCCATATAACCCACCACGGTCCGTGACATCATAGCTGGAGACAGGTGCATGACGCGCAGTCGAAGTCGAGTAGCTGCCCGTTGTGGAGGCGATGACGCCATGCACCCTACATAGGCACTCCTTCGATATATGACTACAGCGTGCGCTCGCCGCCACGGCACAAACACAACACTTGCCTTATCGGGGCGAACGTGTCAAGTCAGCGCTTAGCCTACCTGGAGTCGCCGTGTTCTGACTCTCCTACTCACGGTCTCTATCTCAAACTAAACTACATTGAGTATATCTATGGCATTTTTACACACTAGATGGCACCTTACACCTTCTGAACGGCTCGGGGGACACGAGTCGGCGGTGGTGGGGCAACCATGACGCTAGCATCATTCACACCGGTCGAGAGCGAGTCGAATGTGGGTGCCGAATCGCCGACGAATTCCCTTTCACTGTGGAGTCATAGCATCGCCTGCGGGATTTGGCTGGCAGCTCACCAGCTGAATGCAGGTGAATGTGTATGGAATTGCACGGAGCGAATCCCGTTCTTCTGGAGATGCTGCTCGGGATAATAGTCGTTCCGCAGTACTCAACATCGGCGACTGTCGCACGAGAGCTGGCTTTACGAACATACAAACCCGATCAACGGAGTGTGGCATATATATAATGTAAGAGTCCGACGTAGGCAAGAATGACAGGACACTACGAAGACCTCATGCCGAGGGAGCGCGAGCAGTGGCAGACGAGCCAGCACCCGCGCTGCTGGACGACGGCAAAGCAGTGGAAGCAGCCGCAGTCCCGTTCAGCCAACCCTTGATGACGTTCAGCTCGATGTTGCGTGCCTAGAACAAAACGTCGTCAGCCAGAGTCAACAACTCCCCAATGTGCCGCGACCCACGTCAACAACCGACTGCCAGTCCGCTCCAGGATCATACTGCTCCAGGTCCTGGCCGTGCCCGCCCCCTGCGACGAACACCCTCACCGCCTGGTGTGGGTCCGTGCCGACCGCGTCGCCCAGCCCGTTCTGCGCGACGGACGTCGTCGGGTCGAGCTCGCCCACCGAGAAGATGACGCGCGTCGAGGCGCGCAGGTCCGCGTCCGCGATCCTGTACTTCGCCTTGATCGCCGCGCCCGGCGGGGTGGTGACGTTCCACAGCGCCGTGCACCCCGCGGAGGGGTCGCTCGCGCTCGGGGGGAGAGGCGCGCCGATCTGCCAGATCCCGCGGGGGTCGAGCGCGTTGTTCAGCGGGACCCAGTTGCAGCGCACCCAGGAGAAGGGGACCGCGGCGATGTTGATGCTGCTCGGCAGCGCGATGGTGTGGTCCAGGCACGGCTTGCCGCTGGGGACCGCGACCGCGTCGCCGCCGTATGCGTGCCAGAGCGTCTGGTTGAGCGCGGCGAGGGGCGAGGGCGCGGAGAGCGTGTCGTTGATGACAACGGGGAGGACAGGCCCGGAGACGTTGTGGAAGTACGAGGGCATGAAGGAGAACTGGGTGAGGATGTCGTACGCCCCGACGAGCCAATAGTTGAAGGTGACCGCGCCCGCGACGTCGGTGACGTTGGGGGCCTGGCAGAGGGAGAGCTCCTTGGCGAGCGTGGGTTCGTCGCCTTTGCTATGTCAGAGTCGTGGTACATCGGAGCTGATCGGAAACGACATACCAGAGGCGACGAGGGACTTGACATTGCTGAAGGCCTGCTTGATACGACTGAAGGCAGTGTATGATTGCCGCAGATAGGTTTGCTGAACCTGGAATCTGGTCAGCTAGAGCAGATGGTGGCGCCTTGTCGGGTCCACTCGCATAGTTATACCAGTTATACACTTCCTGTCCGATCTCTGTTGAATCGCCGAAGGCATAGAACGGCCCAGAAACAGCCCAAGCACCGTAAAATACGTCCGGGTAGTTCTGGCGGAAGATCGCGGACAAGGTACCGCCGTAAGAGCCTTCGAGTCAGGTCAGCATTGACGGGGGAACGAATAAGATGGAGTCAAGCTGCACGTACGTCCTACCACGATTGCCTTGGAGTTTGAGGCGCCCGTTACATTGCTCTTGATGAAGTCAATAAAGTTGACGGCATCCTGCATGACGTTCTCCAGCGTGAGGTACTTGAAGTTCTCTTGTGTGTACGAGTCATTCCCGAAGGGAAGGCTCTGGCCGAAATACCGATGCTCGAGCGTAGCAGTCAGACCGCCGATCTCCTTCGCCCAGTCCGCGAGAATGAGGGTGTCCTGCACGAGGCATGAGCGTATGCTCCGGAACAACTGGACATCACGACTCACGGGGCATGTGATGGTTGTCGCCTCGTTGCTCTGGTAGAAGAGGACTGTGCGTGCAATTGAGCACACGATACACTGGCATGAATGCAGGTACAAGACGAACTGGGACCTCCTTCCTTGAAGTACGTCGCGTTGAGGATGTATTGCTGCTTGAATGTCTGACTTGCATTCGAAATGTGGTCGACGGGTTGGTCCAAGTATTGTGACGGAGTCCAGCATACACGAGCTCCGTCTCAACCGTCGACAGGGTTCACGCCTGTTCCAACATTTATCAAGGCGTTGTGAGCCGCATGATCCGCCGCTGTCGTGGACGAAAACTTGCTGAACCTCAAGGCAGCGAAAAAAAGGGCACTGAAAGAAGTCAACATGAAGTCCAGGGTAGGGAAGGAAAAGGGGATGGACTCGGTGAGATATGGTACATAGAAGTTATATGTCAACGCGTGGGACGCGTGCCAGCGCAGCCAGTAACCTCGGTCCGCTATTGAGCGGCTGCAATTGGTAGTGAGATTGATGAAGCAGTATAGCTTCAGACCGGCGACACGTACCAAGCGAGATCGTGCCGCTGTAACATGGTGCTGTGCTAGCGGCAGTACTTAACAGTCTGTACTGCAGAGTCTAAGGCGCACGAAGATCTCTATCACAGTTCGACCCAAATGTCGATTAAGAGGTCCTGAACCTTAACTTGCGAGGCAACGCGGCTGCGAAGTATATATGCGTGCAGTACGCCATCAAAAGCCAGCATCTGTAAAAGCGGACACGATGGCGCCCAATTCGGACCGAGCGCGTTAGGTCCTTTAAACACATTAGGCTCCAACTTCGTGTTGCCCTTGCCGCGCTCCCGCACACCCCCTATAGCGGTTCACATCGCCTAGGCACATAGCTATGTCGGAGCAGATGCTTCGTGTGGGAAGCGCTCTGACGGGACATCCCCGCTTCTCCCTGCCTCCGCACTTTGAAGAGGAACAGGATACGAGGTAGACGCCTACCTAATCACATTGCCCAAGAGACTGACTTGGGGAAGATCCTGTTGATCTAGCTTCGATCAAGCTACGACCAACGTTGGAGACATAGGAACGGGCGCTAGCGGATGTGCGCTTGGTCGTTCCAACCGGCTTGGGCTGCCTTCATCTATTATGTCCCCAACGCGCGTCGTCATCGATTCGCCTGCGGCAACAAGGATTAGGTGCAAGACATACTTCACCGCACATTCGTATTGAACACTTACCAACAAAGCTGCCACCCCGAGGCTCTGGGAATGTGCGTAAACGCATTTCCTCCTCGGGTTGGTGCTCAAATCTGCGGGGTTTAAACCCCCTGCAACATGGCTGATTCGGGGGAATTTCACCTGATTTGGTCATTAGCTTTGCCTAGTACGTCTACCAGACATGCCTCTTGTAAGGACCACCGTAGACAAGGCAATAAAAAGCGCTCAACCTGAACAAAGCTGCCACGACACTAAGCATCGAGATACAAAGCGCATGGCTCAAAACGGCCCGTTTATTCAGGCTATGTGCGCTCCGTGATTGTCTTTTTGGAAAGAGACGGTGGCGACAGCAACGTCCACCCTTTTAAACGTAGAATTCGTCAGAAGTCAACATTTCGCCTCCTTACCCATCGTTTCGTATTATACCGACATGCCAAGCGTCGACATAGGTGTGCAACCACACCACGTCACTGACCGCCGTGCTCTGCACTCACACCATGCCCCGCCTCACAGACCTAATAGCCCGTGTCAAGCACATCAACCTCAAGCGCGAGTGTGCACCACTCAACGCCGCCGACCTGCCTCCCAAAGTCCTCGAGTACATCTTCGAGATCCTTCGGGACGAGCATCGCGTAACAACCACCCGCGACCACGGCTTCCTCTCGTCCTGGATCCCCGCGACATGGGTCTGCCGCGCGTGGCGTGCTGTCGCGCTCGCGACGCCCCGCCTCTGGTCCTGGATCGACATCAACGCGCGGCACTGCGATCCCGAGGCAATCGCGACGCTCCTCGCGCGGTGCGGGTCGGACGAGAACCTGAGCATGTCCCTCGACTGCCAGGCGATCGACATCGCACAGGCGTGCGAGCTAGTGCGGCCCGTCGCGCACAGGATCTCCCACCTCTCCGTGTGCATCGACGGCGATCAGGCACCTCTTATCGAGGAGCTGCTGATGCATCTTGGGGATAAGCTCGGGATACTGCAGCTGTACGGCGCCGACAGCGTGAAGGAGTACAACATCAGCCTCGACACGGCGCAGGTGCCGAACCTGCGCACGCTCTCGCTCACAAGGATCTTCATGCACCCGACGACGGAGTTGTGCGGGCTGAAGGACCTCACGCTGAACAACATGTGGAGCGAGAACGGGGAGATGCACGCGGGCGAGTACGTGTACGGCCTGCTCGCGGTGTGTCCGGACCTGGAGACGTTGTGCATGGAGGACGCGCTTCCGCAGGCTGCGTCCGTCGAGATCGCAGCCTTTCCACAGATCGCGTTCCCCAACCTGCGCACGCTGTGCGTGAACGACCTCGCGGTGGACCTGCCCGCGAACCTCGCCAACTTCGTCGTCCCGCCCCTCGCGAGCATCCACATCACCGCGCGTTATGACGGCCACCTGCCATTCTCGTTCGAGACTGCGACGGTGACAGGGGCGGATAACGAGGCGGACCAGGAGGACGACACCGTGCTGCCGATGGACATCCTCCCTGTGAGCAAGTTCGACAACTTCCCGGCGCTGGTCGACACGGTCGACCTCTGCCTTCAGCTCGGCACGCCTTGCTGCACCGGCGACATTCGTGTGCATAGCGCGAGTTGGGAGTTCACGGTGCCGACGCTCGAAGACGAGATACAGGGCACGAACCGCCTCCCCGAGCTCCTCGACCACATCTTCACGGGGTTCCCGACGGCGTTCGTGGACCCGACAAAGATCGTCTTTCTGCAGCTGCACATCGCGCAGGGTGTACCAGAGTACGACGGCTGGGCAGAGCTGCTCGCGCAGTTCCCGCGGGTGGTCATGCTAACGATCGGGGGGAGGAACGCGTTCAACGACCTCGTGATGGCGCTGAAGAGGGACGTGAAGCTGCTGCAGACGCTCTTCCAGCTGACGGTGTGTCTGGCGGCGCCAAGGACCGCTTTGACGACGGCAGATGCGAAGGCGTTTGGGGAGATGTTGGCGGAGAGGGCGGAAAAGGGGATCACGCTTGAGAGCTTAATCGTGAGGGTGCCGGAGATTCCGCTCAACGACGCGACGTTCCACCTCGCCAGCGCGTTAGTGGCGTATATGGCTGTTCGGGGCAAGAGCGTGAGGGTGCAAAGGCAAGATTGCCACACGTGCCACATGGTTCGTTTGCACAATCATGCCTAGGTGGAGACGCGCTGTGGCACCACGCTGTATTCCCAAAGCCCTGTGGTATCGGACAATGTATGTACGCACATATCCTGCAGCAGAGTAGGATTCATCAATGACGATAGCTTGTCCGCGCAAACTTGGATGACGAGGACACCGTACAGCACCATTCAAGAGTCGGAGCTGGACTCACATCTACTACCACTCTTCAATGTCGTCGTCCGACAGAAAATTCCCAGTAACGCTGTCGTCAGCTCCAGCCAGGGGGCGATCCTCACGCTGAGGCGTAGCCTCGTCGGGCACGGCCTCACCCTCCTGTGCGATCTCAACAAGGCCTCCGCGGACGTGTGCGAACTCGAGCTGAGAAAAGCTTCGGTGCGTCGATGGTATCGGTTCCGCAAACGCCCCTGGAGCACTCCATGAGCCGGCGTTTCGTCGACAAAAGTGGGTGCACGTACCCGCTCTCTCGGCAGCGCGCCACAGGGAGCCGCTGCCCAGCACGACGTCGCGCGATCCCCACGAAGACACAGGCCAGCTTCCGAGCTGCATGAAGATCGTGAGATGAGCGTCGAGTATGACCGCAGTGGCGAGCTTACCCGCTGCAACCACAGCTGCACGTCCCGCACGCCGTCTTCTGCCTCGTGCTGCTGCCTGAGCGTCTCGAAGAACGCGGGCTTGAATGTCTTCTGGTTCCGTCGCGGGACAGGAGTGGGGAGCGCGTGCATCGTGCCCAGCGCTACGAGGTGGAACTGGTGCGGATTCGCTTGGTGCCACTATGCTGACCAGCATCAGGGACTTGTGGATAAGCGATCGAGGAGGGCTGATCACGTACGCTTTCGCCGCCACTCGAGTCCACCCAGCTCAGCGAGTCCATCAGGGCCTCGCACTCATCCAGCGTGTCGCAGTACTGGGTGTAGTTTTGATGGATGTAGAGCGACAGGAGCGAGGCGTCGATTGGCGTGTCCGCATACAACGTCTGCATCGTGGTCAAGATAGGATCAGGATGGTTGAAAAAGCCAGCGACGTACCTCGATGTCGACACGGCTCGCCCTTCGCTCGTGATGCTTGTAATGCGGTGGGAGCGGGGGTGGATCCTTGAGGCCCGCGTCGATCTCCTTTTCCCGCCGCACGTCTTTGGCAGACGACGACTTCCCGGACGGGTCCCCCTTACCTGACGTGTGGGGGCCTTGAGTTAAAGAGCACGCATACAGTGAGGAGAGGATACTGACGTTTATTATACATGATCTTCCCAAGAAGGTGGAACAACGCAAGGCTCTGCTCCCGCCGCGTCACCGCCTCCAGCATCACAGTCGCCGACGGGCCCTTCCCCTTCTTCGACCCTTTGGCGCCCGGCTTGTGCGTACCGTGGTCGGCCGTGCACGCGAACTGGAGGGCGTTGATGGCGCTGCGGATGTCGCCGTTCGAGGACTCGACGATCAGCTCGAGGACGTCCTTCGTCGGGCGCGTGCCGACGGCGGATGGGGAGGAGAAGTGCCGGTCGAGCATGGACTTGAGCGCGGTGCGCATGTACGTGGGTGCGATGGGGTTAAAGCTGCGTGAAGAGAGGAGACGTGAACGACGGTCGCCGGGATAGCTGTTGACGATGGCGTATACGCACCTGATCTGTGTGACATACGGCGAGTTGTGGAGGTGTGGGGGGAGGACGTTCCGCATGTCTATCGCTTCTTTGCTTCGGGATCGCCATCGCGCACCTCCCTCTTCGGCATCTTCGCCTCGCAGACCGGCGTCACTGATGATGATGATGAGTGGAGATACTCCGCCGTCTGGAGTTGCGACAAAGTCATCCAACGCCAAGTGGAAAGAAGCTTGGGTGGCGGGGTGGAGGATGTTCGGAAGGTCTTCGAGCAGGATGACCCGCCGACGTGACGAGCTAGCACTCGTGGAGGAGGAAGAGCTAGAGGGTGGGATCTGGGACGTGCGCGAGCCCTGGGTGGACTGCGTCTGGGAGGACTGTGTCTGCGACACGAAGATCGGACGACAAGTCGACGCTCGGGTGAGGAAGGTTCTGAACTTCTCCGCCAGGCCTTCGTATTCGACGCCATCCCAGTCTCCCTCAGAGCGAGAGAACCGTTCGTCCATGGTGTTCCGCCACTCGAGGACATCAAAGCCGAGTTCGTCGGAGAGCATGCGCACGGTTGCCGTCTTGGCCGTCCCGGCTGGTCCGGTCAGGACAAGTATCCGCTGGTGTGATGACATCGGGATGATGACTATAGTAGCGGAAAGCGTATGTCTGACCCACCCTGTACTTCTTCAGCTTTCCCGAAGGGTCGTTCCCGAACGCCTCCGACAGCCAATGACGGACATCTTGCACTTTGCGCTTGTGAACTGCGAGGTCATCCTGAAAGATTGTGAGTGGGTGAATTAATGTCCACACACTGGAAAGTACCTCATTCGTCGGCCCATAACGATCCACCCACAGGCGAGTATCTAGCGTATACATGAGCAGGAAGGCCTGAAGCGATTGAGAAGTCAGACGTACCAAACTCCTCAGCATCAAAACCCGCCGATAAAGCCACCTCTTTTCCCTTTCCCTTCGGGTCTTTGAATTCGCTCGACTTGGGCTGACTCACTTGACTGAGCTTAGGTTGACTGCTCTTGGGTTGCGGTGGAGTCGATTGAATGCCAGTGAGATCGAACATGGGCGGTCTGGCAAGCTGGACACTTGCGGATGTCACCATGCACAGGCTCACACATCTACATATTATGTTGTACTTACAGACATCATAGGCTTCGTCTTGGCTTTCTTGGGGGGTGGTTCGGCGCCGTCGTCCACTTTGGCTTTACTGGCTCGCGAGGAAGAGATTGTGCTGCCGGGCTTTCTTGGCACTTTCGACGACTTCTTAGACGACATACTGGCAGTGAGAAGCAGAGTTCAACGCAAGACTCGACAAGGGCATGCACACAGTAGAGAGACGGAGGATGAGCGGTTGGGCAGCCCCGGACTTGGAGAAACGAAAGCACGCGACGCGTCGTCGCCTGCTGAGAGCGCGTCACAGGGTCACGTGTCAGATGCTCGCGAGGGTAGCAGCACGTCACAACAGCCGATACTTGCGCGGGGCTTGACGCGACTGAGGTCCGCGCATGACGGTTTCTTTCCTACCGACGACCACGACCTGCGCCCTTTCCGATGTTAGACTCAATGCGTTCTGTAGCCCTCGATACATGGTTTCTTGCATGCCCAGAACTCTCCTTCCGATGACCTGGAACCAGACATGTGCATTGATGACAACATCGACGGAATCTGCCGGTGGTCTGAGTAATGCTCGACATCCCCATTGACCGTATTCTACCATCCTCGCCCGACATCCTCCTCGCTTCCTACCTGACCACACTCAATATCGCTAGCTATGCCTCTTGCACCCCCTCTGAATTTCCCCAAGTGGCTCAATGAGAACGGCCACCTTCTCAAGCCTCCTGTGAACAACTACTGCGTCTATTCCGGCAAGGACTTTACCGTCATGGTCGTCGGCGGCCCGAACGAGCGAAATGACTACCATGTCAACGAGACCGAGGTCGGTCTCGTGTCCATCGCCCCGTGCTCTGTACCGAGACTGACGCTCGCTCGCGCCCGAACGTAGGAATGGTTCTACCAGCACAAGGGTGGCATGCTCCTCCGCGTGGTCGACGGCGAGGAGTTCAGGGACATCCGCATCGAGGAAGGCGAGATGTTCCTCCTCCCAGGTGAGCTCGAGACACTCGCGCACATCGCCCCGCGAAGCGCGGCGGTATTGAACCTTGAGTGACCGCGCAGCGAACACCCCGCACAACCCCGTGCGATTCGCGAACACCATCGGGATCGTCGTCGAGCGCGTCCGTCCGGAGGGCTCCATCGGTGAGCATCTGCTTCCCCGAGCGCGCGCCTCTCCCCTTTGACGCAGGTCTTGGGCTTCAGACCGCCTGCGGTGGTACTGCAAGTCGGGCAAGCACGAGAAGCCGACGATCATCCGCGAGGACGCGTTCCACTGCACCGATCTCGGCACGCAGCTCAAGCCCATCATCCAGAATTGGATCAATAACGAGCTGATCCGCAAGTGCGCCGAGTGCGGAACCGTCGCGGAGGCGAAGTGACGACGGAAGGCGAACGGGTCTAAAGCGGAGAAGTTTCATTATAATGTATGTACCGATGTGTTGATCCTACGTGACGAACGAGTTCTTGGAGTAGCGCAGGAATGTCGCGTCGATGAGTTTGGTCTCTGCCCTCGAGTGTGCTTCGCATGTGCGAAGGTACGTCCATCCAAGGCCCGCCGGCTTCATTGTGCGAAGTGCTGCTTCGTGCTGCTTCGTTCGTCGCACATGCGCTTGACCACCTTTACTCCCATGTTCGCGTCGGAGTCTCCTGTCGGTTTGATCGTGGCTGAGCGCAAACTTGAGGTTCTTCGCCAGACGACAAATTATGAAGTCGTATTCTCAGGGCTGCCCCTTTGTATGTCGGAACTGCTGTGGGATCGCCTGGACCATCTTCGCATAACATCGTAGCTTGTCAGCACATTGTCATATATTCCGCGCGCGGGGTTACTGATCCATCTATCTCGTGGTCAGATAGCGACTCTCTAAGTGCGGTCTTGCAGTGCTCAACCCCTAGAAATATCGTACTCCAATTCTCGTCTTTTTAAGTTTCCAAGGCAAGGTCACGCAGATCAGGTTGCGTCATTGCGATAATCCATTCAGGCCGAGATATCCCATTCTCATGGACACAAGATGTTTTGCGCGCAGAACTGCTCAATCCGGAGGGCCTCGTGGTGTGTTCTAGTGAGGAGCTAGTAGGGTTGAGTTTCCAAAACTTCTCACGAGCTAACACAGCTCTCTCGTCTCACGATTGCCCTTCGCCTGTCCCCCTATGATCCCATGGACACACTCCAGGTCCTCTCGATCTGATGTGCACACTCTCGGGAACTACGTACGCCGGGACCATTCACTCCGTTCAGAGTGCTTCCTGAGTCTTCAGTAGGCTGACGCTGACTATGGTGAAATCAGCAGTTGGCGTTCCAGAGTCACCGGTGGTTGTCTTGGGTTTTACATATTTACATTCACCAAGTGCGAACTACGATACCTGCGCCATGTACAAACATCTATGATCTGACGCATATCAGACACGATCTACTCTTACCGTTATCAATTCGGTTACTGAGATGTGCGGGGTGGCCAGAGTCGAGAGAACAGGTATTCTCTACGTGCACGCGAGCGGCTTTCGAGATAGAACGGTAGGTTGATAGAAATGTAGAGAAAAGATACAGTTAGGCTGTGGTCTACACACAGACAGAGACTCCGACGGGACTGTTCGGCGGCATCCAGCCGCGCCGCGCCGCATTCATGCCCACTTCCTCCGCAGCTCTGGCCATAGCAGCCTCCCCCGCCTTCTTCTCCTGCCGCTGACGCCCTGACAGCTTCTTCCAAACCGGCTTGTCCTGCTCGCCGCCTGCGTCCGCATTGGAAATTTCGACAGCGCGCCATGGAGGTGCAGACGCGCAGGACGTCTTCAGTTTCGCGGTGGCCTTGGCCGGGATCTTCCGAGGCACAACAACATAAGCTGGGGATTTGACTTTCCGCCTGCTACACGCGCACGTCGATGAGGAGGACGAGGACAGGGCCTGCGCAGCCGCGATCTTCCTGGACCTCGTCGGCGACTTGTGTGCGGTGCTCTTGGTCGCCTTGCTCGTCCGTGGCGGACGCCGTACGTCTGCGGAAGATCCAGAGGCAGAGGAGGAAGAAGCAAGGCTGAGGGTTGACCGGGATGAGCCGATACTGTTGTCCGCGTCGACCCCGCAGATTTCGTCGATACGAGCCTGGAGCTCCGCGCGCGTCAGGGCCGGCTTGGATGGTTTGGGCGGCCATTCGGGGTCCATGCCCTCGATCTTGCGGATGAGCGCCTGCACGGTCGACTCGGAGGGTGGGAGCACGGACACCGAGCGGTCGGTGGTGAAGACCCGGGAGTCAGAGATAGGGCCGCCGATGCACGGTGAGGCTAGATGGCTCGTAGGGGCACGGGGCGAGAGAAGGGACGAAGCAGCTTGTCCGTGCGCAAAGCCAAGATCTGATGCCGGAGCGAGTCCGTTGTGAGCAGTCGCGCCGAGACCGGGGGGCGAGCGGGGATAGACGGACGGCATAGGACTCTGTACGTTGGACCAAGGGCTATCTGTGTTTCGACTGGTATGGAGTGGAGGGGCCCTGCACTCGACGCCGAGATCGGTCGTAGCCAGGGGCTGTATTATGGAGACTTCGTCGCAACCCTTCTGCGAGTCTTCGAAAACATTCAGGGGTAATCGCAGGACCAACTTTCGCCTCGGTTCCCCAGATGTATCTGTACGATACAACGGACCTGAGACGTTGAGGTGAAACTTAGTCGAAGGGGAAGGGCCAGGAATGGAACTTCGGAAGTTCGTGCCTCTCAGCGCATCCCCATCAAATGGTGGGGTTGGTTGATACGGTAAGACTCGGACTGAGACAGTCGAGAAAGACGGAGCGTGCTCGAGCAGGGGCTCAGGCCGAGGATTATCATCGCGCCGACGCCGTTGTTGATTGCCCTGTCAGAAGATAGCCGTATTCATCAGCCTGGGCGTCCAGAAGGATCACAAGTCGTAGAAGAGCACATACCTTCATTGCGACATCAGGAGGTAGAGCTCCAACACCACCTCCGATCTGAAGGAATCGCCAGCGCTGCTTTGCGGATAAGATCACCAAATCGAGAAAATGGGAGAGAAAGGCGGCAGTAGAGGTGAGGAAGCCTTTTGCGGCGTTCTTGATGTGCAGCGCTTCGCCATCAACCCGACTCGCGACAGCGTAGAACGCGCGAACGCCCCAGGAAGAAAAAAGGACCAGCTTGATCTTGACCCCACATAATGCTTTGCAAGCGCTTGAGGCTACGAGAGAGGAGATGCACCGAGCGCTACCCTGAAGCCTCTCACCCGCCAAGCACGAACGATGGTATGCAATTTCGCCGACCGACATTCCGAGGCAGCCAAGTGATACGACGAGCCTCAAGAGCGAGATGCAAGCCGCGAACGACAGAACCATGGCGGCCCATGCAATGTAGCGCATGATGAGGCATGCTTGGAAGAGCAGCGCAAAGACGGTGAAGATCAATATGACGATAGGCACCCGACGCATGAAGACCAGAAGAAGCCCGTCCGTTGTTACGTCGTCGCCCGCGAAGAACAGAATGTCAAGGAGTTCAAGACCCGTGCTGGCGTTGAGGGTCTCAACATCTTGCAGGTAGTTGCCCAGATTCAGTAGAGTGTTTCCATAGAAAACGAAGCCCGAGCTGCAGGCTGCGCGGACACTATCTAGAGTAGTCGTGAGTAGGACCCGTAGGGATGACCACATCTTGAGATGGGCCGTAGTGATGCGATATCTGATACAAGTGAGCTGAACTGAGTCTTCTAAAAATGTTGGGATAGATGGTGGGTGGGTATGAGGGAGAAGAAGGACACGCGCAGACCTGAAGCCAACATCCCGGCTGCACCTGTGAGGTGACATTGACGTGTGAAGGGTGATAGCGAGCGAGTAAGCCACCGCGTCATCGCTGTGTTCGAATCTGTTGTAAACGGAGACGCCATAGCAGTCCAATGTGGGCGATGTTTTTCGACAAGAGTAGTGTTAGTCCAAGATCCTGCAGTGAAGCAAGTTGAATGACCCACAAAAGCGACATCGGCGAGTGAACGGGTACTCACCTCAGCCTCCCGGAACAGTTCCCCTTCAATGCTATCAAATTCATAGCTATCAAAGGCTGAATATCTTCCATCAAGTTCAATCTCGTCTTGATATGTATCGGTAGCCATGGTCAGAGGAGAAAACACGCAGTCGAAGTTTGCCTGCTGGACTGAGGTTTGACGGACCACCGGCAAAGGCCGTCGGCACCGTTCGGCGTCTCAGACATTGATCTGAGTTCGGAGTACTAGTCGCGCGCTTTCACCGTCCATCACTCGAATTCGCTGTGCTACGCCCTCATCCTTCCCTCCCCCTAGTGTTACAACTTGTTGACTCGATTGATACACCCTCAACCTACAGATGTGCTCCTTTCTTGGTTTGTGCAACTCGTTCACGAAATGGCGGCCCGCTCAATCATGGGGCAAAAGATACCTTTCCACCCTCCAACTGTGTCCCGATGCGTGTCTGACAGGTAGCTGTGCTCTGAGCTGCAGAATGCGTCCCATGTTCAGCGTCATCATTCACCTCCACTATGGGTGAGAGTACCAGCCCACACCACGCGAGTGATCGTCGACTATCTCGTTCTCGACCGACACCTAACGGCTAATGCCCAGCCTCCGAGGCTTACACTTCTTTACAGCTTCGCTGTTCACTTTCGCGTGCACCCTCGCTTTCTCTCACTACCGTCTATTGCTACGCTGTTTGCTTTGCTCTCCAGACTGCTGTCATGACTTTCAGGAAATTCAAGAAGTCTACGAGAAACAAGTCATCGACCAAGATACCTGCAACTCCCGCCGTACCAGAATACACCGAAACCGTGGTATG